ACTCACAGAGATCCACCTGCTTCTGCCTCTCGAGTGCTGGAATTAAAGGCATGCACCACCACCGCCCGACTTGGTCACTGTGCTTTTACCAGAAAAATAAAACCAAACTAAATAAAAACCTGTATAATTAAATCAGCATGTGTAAAACAAAGACATGACAAATAGACATCAGGAGTATAACGGCAGGCTTGGAGAGATGGCTCATTGATTAAGAGCACTGGCTACTCTTTCAGAGAACTTGGCTTCAAGTCCCAGTACCCACACGGTAGCTCACAAACACTTCTGACCCCAGATCCAGGTGATCTGATGCCCTCTCCTGACACCCATGGACAACAACAGGCACACAAATGGTGCATAGACAAAATGCAGACAAAAATCCATATATTATTTCTTTTTGAGACAGTGTTTCTCTGTTTAGCCTTGGCTGTCCTAGAACTTGCTCTGTAGACCAGGCAGGCCTTGAACTCACAGAAATCTGCCTGCCTCTGCCTTCCAAGTGCTGGGATTAAAGGCATGCAGCACCAATGCCCAAGGAAAATAATTTTTTAACAAATTCTTTTTTTTTTTAATGTGCATTGGTGTTTTGCCTGCATGTGTGTCTATGTAAGAGTGTCAGAAACCCTGGAACTGGAGTTAACAGACAGCTGTGAGCTGCAATGTGGGTGCTGGGTATTGAACAAGGGTCTATAAGAACAGCCAGTGCTCTTAACCCACTGAGCCATCTCTCCAGCTCCCGAAAAATTTAAAGATTACAAAGACAAGTTTGGAAAGATGCTCAGCAGGTAGAAGCACTTGTCATGCAAGCCTGAAATCCCGAGTTTATCTCTAGAACCCAAGGAGGTGGGGAAGCCAGAAAGATAAGCATCTGTAATCTCAGAACTACTGTATCTAGATGGGAGGTAAGGATGGGAAAATCATCCAGAAACCCATGGGCCAGCTAGCATGGAGCACACACTGTAGCAGAGGGAGGTAAAGATGGGAAAATCATCCAGAAACCCATGGGCCAGCTAGCTTGGTGCACACACTGTAGCAGAAATAAGAGAGATCTTGCTTCAATAACAGAGTCCCAGAACCACCTCCCCAAAATTGACCTCTGACTCCATATGGCATATGTGTGGCACCTACACTCCAATATATACAATAAATATATTTTAAAAATTAAAATATTACATGGATATTCTTAACACTAAATTAAACTTTTTTTCTTTTTCTTTTCTTTCTCTTTTTTTGAGATGGGATGTTGTTTGTCTCCAGGATAGTCTGTAACTCCTATCCTCCTGCTTCACCCTCTGAGTAGCTGGAATTCCAGCTGTTGCCACAGAGTTCAGTGAATTTACTGACTTGTTTGTTATTTTAGAGAGTTTTAAATCTGGGGTGGTTTTAGTTAAGAATTATTCACAATAAAGCTCTGATTTTCTGTGACCTACTAGTTACAGATGAGAGCATGAAAGACACTCTAAAGGATGCCCTTTCAAAAAGATTTTAAAATCTAATTCTAAAATTTTCTTTAATTATAAATGAACTTTAAAATTTCAAATAAGATTAAATATTTCTTTAAATTTAAATTCTTTAAATTTCTTTAATTCTTTAATGTGTGTGTGTGTGTGTGTTAGTGATATTTTATTTATGATTTATTAAAGTTTGTCTGAGGATTCAGAAAAGCAAAGTCAGCCTCAAGCTATAGAGATCAGGCAGTGGTGATGCACACCTTTAATCCCAGCGGCCAGAAGCTAGGAGGTGATAGTACACACCTTTAATCCTAGGACTCATGATTAAGAGGCAGACAGATCTCTGTGAGTCCAAGGCCACTCAGATCTACACAAGAGTGAATCAGTCTAAAAGAGAATTATAGCTCACACCTTTAATCCTAGCACTAAAGGGATATAAAAGACAGGAGCAAGTATTCAGTAGGAGGCATTCAGTCTCCAGCCACACTGAGGAGAGGTTCCAGTCTGAGGCTTGGTGAAAGCTTATGGAAACAAGATCAGCCCATTCAGGCTGAGGTAGAAGTTAAGAAGCCAGTGGCCATCTGCTTTGCTTCTCTGATATTCAGCTTGAAGTTTGAACCCTAATATCAGTCTCTGGATCATTTATTTATTATATTAACATGTGTGTTAGTATGTCTTTCCTTGATAAGTCTCCACTTGTATTTTAAAAATTGTGTATGGGGCACACTTGTGCACAAATATGGAGTACAAACATGATGTCAGAAGTCCTTCTCCAGCACTCCCTGAATATTCTTCTGTGGTAGGGTCTTTTCCTGAACTTGGGGTTCTTATTTTCTCAGCTGGGCTGGAAGCCAGCAAGTCCCAGTGATTTCCCTATCCCTAACCCCATGAAACTTGAGTTACAGGTGTTTGTGGGGGGGACGCCTGACTTGATACCTGGATGCTAGAATCCAAATTCTGTTCCTCAAGAATATGTACCAAATGCTCTCCCCATTCCATGCCTTATGTTTTGTCAGTCTCCCCTTAAATGTAAAGCTGTGATTCAGATAAACTGGCTGTGCTTACAGGCATGTCACATCTGTCTGTCTCTCTGTTTTATGTGGGTTCTGGGGACCCCCAGTCAGGTTCCTGCACATGTGCAGTAAGCACTTACTGAGTCATCTCCCCAGCCTCCCAAGTTTCTCTGAAATCGGAGACAAAAGTACTAGCATTCCTGAATGTCTCTCAGTTCTGTGGCAACACATTAGACTATATTCACCAATACATGGAGTGTTGTCCTTAAGTTGGAGTGAGGAACTGAGAGGTACAACTCCAAAATCATAAAATGTCCTCTGGTTCTAGATTTGTGGTCAGCATGAGGCAGATGACCACACTGTGTAGAACTGGATCCTCAAACCGGGCGTTGGTGGCGCACGCCTTTAATCCCAGCACTTGGGAGGCAGAGGCAGGTGGATCTCTGTGAGTTCAAGATCAGCCTGGTCTACAAGAGCTGGTTCCAGGGCAGCATCCAAAGCCACAGAGAAACCCTGTCTTGAAAAACAAAAACAAAAACAAAAAAAAAAAAAAAGGGAAAGAACTGGATCCCCAGAGGGAAAGTATTGATCCATGAGTGTAGGTAGCATCCAGTCTTCCTAAGCAGGGTTATTTCTGTGTTAATGACTAACCTGGTCTTATGGCTTATTTTTACTATTGCCATTATAGGGTCTTACTATGTAGCCCAGGTTGACCTCAAAATCAAAACACTCCTGCCTCAGCTTCCAAGAACTAGAATTACAGGTATGTGCCACTAAGTTGGCATAATTATTATTTTTTTAAAAGATTTTATTTATTTAATATGTATACAACATTCTGCTTCCATGTATATCTGCACACCAGAAGAGGGCACCAGATCTCATAACGGATGGTTGTGAGCCACCATGTGGTTGCTGGGAATTGAACTCAGGACCTCTGGAAGAGCAGTCAGTGCTCTTAACCTTTGAGCCATCTCTCCAGCCCAGCATAATTATTTTTTAATTTTATAATTTAACAGTTTTATTAATTCTTTGGGAATCTCATGCAATGTATTTTGACCATATTAATTACGTATTCCTCTCGCTAACTTTTCCCAGATCCATTCCAAATCTTCTTACCTCCTTATCTTCATGTCCACTTATTTTTTTTTCAATGACCCACCAAGTCCAATTTGTGCTGCCTATATACTTCTGGGTATGAGGCATCCATTGGAGCTACAGAGGCCACACCCTTAAAGAAAACTGACTCTCCTTCTCAGAAGCCAAACTGTCTAAAGACTGGCATTTTAAATCTGTTTAGATGCATTTTTACCTAATGAAGGAAAGGAAGCACTGAGGATAAAACGTTATGTTTCTAGGGGAAAATCTTTTAAAATCTTACAAATAGAGTTGGGCGTGGGTGCTGCACAACTGTAACCTCAGCACTGGAGAATCCAAGGTCAGTCTTGACTACACAGTTTTAGGACATCCAGGGCTATATAAGGCCCTGTCTCAAACAAAACAAAACAAAAACAAAGAGATTTTGAAATTTCAGAAATACTTGATATAGTTTGTTCTTTCATAATTGCTAGAACACCCACATCAGATCAACAATGTACTCACACACCCTGCAATCTTTTCCCTACCTCCATCAGTGTCTCCTCTGGTAGTTCAGGGGCTTCAAAGGTGATGAGACCCTCTAGGCTGGGTGGTGAAGCACCGTAAGGCACATATCTCAGGCTGGGAGCTGCCTCTGCTCCTGGTGGGGAAGAGCCCAAGCCTGGCCCCGGTGGGGAGCCCACACACACGCGGCCACTTGCAGAGCACAAGGACCCTCCCGAGCTGCTGGACCCCACTGCAAACAAGCAATACATGTAGACATGTTCAAGGTAGTCAAAAGGGGTGGTCATACTAACTTCTCACTTATTAAACATAGCCTATTCAAGTGACAAGATATTTAAAGGAAAGTCCTAGGGCATACATATAAATAAAACAGAACCATCATTTAAAATTAAACACTCTGTTTAAAACAAATTTATGTAATATACAATTTATACCATATTTTTTTCTCCTTAATGCTCCACTGGCTTTATAAGAATAAAAATGCAACTGATGCACAGTAGTTCAGTAACTTTACATATACAAAGTATATCTGGAATCATGTGAATTATTAGTATTTTTGCATTACAAAATATTATTAAAATCATTTTTTCTTAGGCGATTTCCATGTGATAAGTACTCCAAAGTAGGAATGGAATTTTCAAAGTGCAAGCATTATAAGCATTTTTGTCATATTTCTGAATAAGGATATTTCTATGTAGCCCTGGCTTTCCTGAACTCAATCAATAGAGCAGGCTGATTTAGAATTCAAGGGCCTTGCCTGCCTCTGCTTCTTGAGTTCTGGGATTCAATGTGTGCATCACTACATCTACAGTTATATTACAGTTCTTCCTAAAAATAGGCACATAACTTTCTCAAAAAGTATTACATGTGGCCACTAAACCACATCAGCCCTGTGCCTTATATTTTTTTAAAAAATGCTGATTTATCTGGGCCCTGGTGGCATATCCTTAATCCAAGCAATTGGGAGGCAGTGGCAGTTGGATCTGTGTAAGTTCAAGAGCAGTCTGGTCTACAAAATCAGACCCTACCCAAAAAAAAGAAGAACAAGAAACAAGAAGAAGAAAAGAAGAAGAAGGAAGAAGGAAGAAGAGGAAGAAGAAGAAAAGTTTAACTGTATTAAAATGGTAGTTTGTTATTTACAATTCAAAAGCATTTCATTGTTTTTTGTTTTGTTTGAAGACAGGGTCTCTCCAGGCAGACCTGCTTGGATTGAAGCTAACTCTGTATTTTTGAATATTTCTAAAGCAATACTTTAGCTCTACCTGTCATTATCTCATCTTTCCCTTATTAATTTACAAGCATCCTTATTAGCAGCTTACTTAGAATACAAGAATTTAGAGTACAAGCTTATTGAGGATACTAGACAACACAGAATGCAGCACATATAACTAAGACACAGTACTTCAAATCCACTCTAATACTTTTTAAAAAAATCTATTTTAAATTTTGTGTGGGGTATGTACACATGAGTGCAGATGTCTGCAGAGGCCAAAGGAACTGGATTCGACAGGAGTTACAGACAGTTGTGAGTGACCATGTAGATGCTGAGAATTAAACCTGGGTCCTCTGGAGAGGTAATCAGTGCTCTTAACCACTGAGCCAGCTTTCCAACCTCAGTCAAATACTTTCTTAATTTTTGGTATCAGTAAACAAGTTAGACAGTAAGGATGATTTAAAACACACACACACACACACACACACACACACACACACAAACACCAACACACACACACACACACACACACAAACACAACCCCAAACAAACAACACACCCCCCACACACACACCACATTGGTACCTGAAACACAAAAGTTAAGGGAAGTTGAATTAGGAGGATCTCAATTTGAGGCCAGCCTGGATTACACTATAAATTCAAGGCCAGCCCGGGAAACTTGGCAAGACCTTGTCTCAAAAATAAAAACAAAAACAACAGCCCCCCAAAAGAAAAGAGAGTGTGCCAGTGTGCGTAGGGGGTTTTGAAGGAAGCCAGGTGTGGTGGCACACATTTTCAACCCCAGTACTGAGGAGGCAGACGCAGATGATCTCTGTGAGTTCAAGGCTAGTCTGGTCTATGTAGCAAATTCCAGGCTAGTCAGGACTACACAGTGAGATCCCGTCTTAAGGAAAAAAAACAGCCCAGTGGAGGGGCCTAAGAGATGGTTTAGAGGTTAAAAAAGCATGCACTGCTCTTCCAGAGGCCTTACATTCAATTCCCAGCACCCACGTGGCAGCTCACAACTGTCTGTAATTCCAGTTCCAGGGGATTGGATGGCCTCTTCTACCTCCTAAGACAGCAGTCAGGCACAAGGTTCATATACATACACGCAGGCAAAACAATCATACACATAATATAATTTTTAAAGGGTTGCACTGAGAGTGTCAAGGTATACACTTGCATTCCCAACACTTGGAATCAGGAGAATCAGGAGTTCAAGGTTATCCACAGGCGATCCTGTCTCAAAAAGAGGGTCTGGGGAAAACTGGGAATGCAGTGGTATAGCACTTGTTTATCTTGTGGGGAGCCTTGAGTTCAATTTCCAGCACCACAATGAAGTGTATTTTCAAATAATTTATTAGGTCTATTAAACAAGACCAGTCTATGAAAGAAGAAGTAGTGTACAAACTAGATATGCATATCTATTTCTTCACGGAGAAATTACACTTTATTGTATGTTACACTGAACATAAACATGTATAAATAAACATATATATATATATATATATATTTTAAAGATGTATTTATTATGTATAGTGTTCTGCCTGCATGTACTCCTTTATGTCAGGAGAGGAGAGGGCACCAGATCTCATTACTGATGGTTGTGAGCCACCATATGGGTGCTGGGAATTGAACTCAGGAGCTCTGGAAGCGCAGCCAGTGCTCTTAACCTCTGAGCCATCTCTCCAGCCCCCTGCTTTAGACTTTTAATGGTTGTGACAAAATGCCTACCATACATGACTTGAGAGGCACATATATGTATGCAGTATAGTATATGTTACTTTTACTTTACAAAGTCCTCCTCAACATGTTACCTCATTTACTTCTGACATACAGTTTTTAAAGAAGGAAAACAGCTACATCATTTTACTGGAGAAGTGATCTGTCTAATCTCACCACTACACCATTATCACAACTAGTCATGGAATGTACCAGTTCCTTACCTGAGGTGGTTCTTGTTCGCAGGACCATATGAGTACAAGTAGGGGCTGTGGCACTGTGTGGAGGAGACCCCACAGTGAAGAGGACAGCTCTGGCACTTGCTGCTGTTCCTGCTGGCAATGTCAGCATAACACCACAGGCTCCTGCAGGAGCTAAAACAGAATTGGTCAGATATTAGATTACACTCACAGTGTTTCTATATGGAAGTGGAACATAAGGAAACTCATGCTTTTATATTAATTTTAACATTTGTTTTTATTATTTTTAATTGTGAGTTGTGTGTGTGTGTGTGTGTGTGTGTGTGTGTGATGGAGAGCACAGGTGTTCACCAAGGCAAGATGTGTCAGATCCCCTTGGAGTTGGAGTTATAGGCAGTTGTGAGCTTCCTAGTGTAGATGCTTGGAGGCAAATTAGAATTCTTGCAAGAGCAGTAAGCACCCTTAACTGATGAGCCTCTCCAGCCCCATTTAATATTAATTCTAAATTCTAACACTTATGCTAAAATCATATTATTCAATATATATTTCAGTAAGAATATTTTAGAGAGTCAACAAGATTGGTCAGCAAGTGAAAGTGCTTCCCATCAAAGCTGATGACCTGATTTGATTCCTAAGACCCTGAAGGCAGAAGAAGAGAGCTGCCTCTGGCACATTGTCCCGACTTCCACATGCATGCAGTGACATGTCATGCCTACATACATACACACGCACACAAAACAAAAAGTTTAATGTAATTAAAAAGAGTTGGGTGTGGTGGGTGACATTTATTTACTCAGTTTTTCAAGACAGGGTTTCTCTGTGTAACAGCCCTGGCTGTCCTGGAGCTCACTCTGAAGACCAGGCTGGCCTCAAACTCAGAGATCTGCCTGCCTCTGCCTCCCAAGTGCTGGGATAAAAGGAGTGCACCATCACCACCCAGCTGGTGGGTCACATTTTTAATCCCAACATTTGGGAGGCAGAGGCAGACAGATCTCTAGGAGTTTGAAGAGGCTGGTCAACATAGTGAATTCCTGGACAGACAGGGCTACATAGTGAGATATTGCCTCAGAGAAAAAAAAATCTGTAAAGAAAAAAATTTTAGAGTAATTAATATCTCTACAGCTTTGTGAATCTTCACACCAAAGTCTAGTACTCAAATATAATGAGAGACGATCCATAGTCCGTAAGGTTAAGATATCTTTATTCAGAGCCGGGCATTGGTGGCACACCCTGTCTTGAAAAACCAAAAAAAAAAAAAAAAAAGATATCTTTATTCAGATAAACACCAGTCAAACATAAGCCAAAGCGTGCCAGGGGCAGTGAGCCAGAAAGAAGGGGCTCCCATGTGCCTTGCAGCCCCTTAAAAACTTATCACTCATCATCCTGACCTCACCTTGACCACGCCCTGACAGTCGTGGTCAGGCACACCTGTAGCCAGCTTCTAACAGGCGTGGCTTATTGTCCCCTACATTCAAAGTTTTGGATAGTTATAAAATATCCAAACTACAAGTTATATCTGTTGATAATTAGAAATATTAGACACTGAGAACAAGAAATAAGAACACAAAGGTAAGGGCTGCTCTTTCAGAGGACCTGGCTTCAATCCCAGGACCTAGCCAGGAGGTAGTGGCATGCACCCTTAATCCCAAAGTGAGTTCCAGGATAGCCAGGGCTACACAGAGAGACCCTGTCTCGGGAACAAACAAACAAAAACAAACAAACAAAAATAATTCTTAGCACCCACTTGGCAGTTTACAAGTACCTGTAACGCCATTTCCAAGGGATTTGGTACACTCGAACAGACATAACACCCAACGCACATAAAAATAATTAAATCTGGGGGCTGGAGAGATGGCTCAGAGGTTAAGAGCACCAACTTTCAAGGATGACACCAGCTAACAATCTAAGCAGCAATGGAGAGGCTACCTTAAATGCCCTCCCATGATAATAAGATTTATGACTAACTTATATGCCACCCTAGAGCCTTCATCCAGCAGCTGGTGGATGTAGAAGCAGATACCCACAGCTAAACACTGAACTGAACTGGAATCCAGTTGTGATGAGCAAAGGGGTCGAGGCCAGGCTGGTGAATCCCACAGAAACAGCTGACCTGAATAAGGGGGTGCTCTTGGTCCCCAGACTGATCACTGGGAAACCAGCATGGAACTGATCCAGACCCCATGAATATGGGTGTCATCGAGGAGGCCTTGGCAATCTATGTGGCCTTTTGCAGTAGATCAGTACTTATCCATAGCATAGGAATGGACTTTGGGAGCCCATTTCACATAGAGGTATACTCCCTTAGCCTAGACACATGGGGAGGGCCTAGGCCCTATCCCAAAGGATATGACAGACTGTGAAGACCCCCATGGAAGGCCTCATCCTCCCAGGGGAGCAGAAATGGTATGGGATAGGCAGGGTGTTAGTAGGGGGCAAGGGAGGAGGGGAGGGTGAGGGAACTGGGATTGACATGTAAAACAATCTTGTTTCTAATTTAAATAAAAAATGGAGAAAGAAAAATTACCTGTTGACAAATTAAGAAAATTTTCTTACCTATATCCATTGGTCGTTCCGTATTTAAACTATCCGAGCTGCCCTGGTGTCCACCTAAAGGTGCCTTTACTTGTTGGTCTGATAACTTCCCAGTACTGACAGATCTAAAAAGAATAGTGACGTGAATAATAGGAAAGCACCTTTTTTAAAAAAAGGATGAAAAATAATTCAGGATATAGATAACCTTCTATAACCAAAATAAAAGAAATAGTTTATTCAAAGACACTCAGGAAGAGCTCTGTACTGGCTGGTTTTGTGTGTCAACTTGATATAAGCTAGAGTAATCAGACAGGAATGAGCCTCAGTAGAGAAAAAGCCTCCATGAGATCCAGCTGTAAGGCATTTTCTCAATTAGTGATCAATGATGGCGGGATCAGCATATGGTGAGTGGTGCTATCCCTGGGCTGGTGGTCCTTGGGTCTATAAGAAAGCAGGCTAAGCAAGCCATGGAAAACAAGTCAGTGATCAGCACGCTTCCATGGCCTTTGCATCAACTCCTGTCTCCAGGATCCTGCCCTGTTTGAGTTCCTGTCCTGACTTCCTTCAGTGATGAACAGCAACATGGAAGTGTAAGCCAAATAAATCCTTTTCCCCCAACTTAGTTCAAATATATATAGTACATATTATTAATCACATGGCATAAATCACCTACTAAACTAATGTATCTCATTGCTTTTACAACATAATACATTGGTTTATGGATTAGTTTTCATGTTAAAGGCTAAAGAGGGAATAGTCTTTTACCTGCCAAATATAGCCTTGCTCTGCAGCTCAGATCGTTGCCTCTCACTTCCTTGTACTAAGAGGCAATGGGAACATTCACGAGGGTCATTTCCATCTTTGGACTGGCTTTCAGCAGGCCCATGACGAGTAACCAAGGCTAACAGGTTAGAAGATGCTTGTGTTTTAGGGATTTTGAAAGGAGCTGTAGTCTAAAGAAACATACGTAAGCTAGTTAATAGGATATATGTTACACTGGTCATGGGTATAGATAGATTTGGGACTTAGATGTGGATTCAAGTACTGGCTTTGTATTTATGATATGTGTGATGCTGGGCTATTCCTATAAGCTCTTTAAGGCTCAACTACTAAAAAGAAAAGCACTCACTACAATTATAACTATTCTCATGATGAATCCTCTCATAAAGTACCAGTTCATAGGTATAAAAGGGCTTAAGAAACACACCTTAGTAGGAGAGCCAATGATTGTTGGTAAAGGAGTTTTAAAGAACCAGTCAGAACTCCGTGGAGAGGACCCCATGTGCTTGGTGGGAGAGGTTCCAAGGCTGCCAGGCCGACTAGGCTGAGGTGAGAAACTATACCCAGCTCCCGCATGGGATGGACACACGGGGTCAGAGTGCTGCTTTCTGAGCTTCTGCTTGTTCTGATAGATATCAGTGAGGGTGGGGGCACTCTGCAGTCTAGCACCCAGTAAGAGTGACTGTGGTGACTGGGTCTGTGGCACTGGAGAACCTATCAACAAAATGAAGGCAACATTAAAACCCATAGAGAAGTGCAGAGATAAAACACAGGAAATAAAAAAGGCAATTTGTGTACATGGTGTGTGTCCAAGGACAATTGGAGTGCATGTGAAGGTCAGATTACAACCTCAGGTGTTAGTCCTTGCCCTCCACGTTGTTTGAGACATGGAGAGAGGCAGGCAGGCTGGCTGGCAGGCAGGCAACGCATATAACTAGGAGACTAGGCATCCCTTTTCAACATAAATCATGTTGTTGCCCAACGAAGACCACCAATACTTAAGTTCCACTAAGACACTCTCTGGAATCCCTTTTCAACATAAATCATGTTGTTGCCCAACGAAGACCACCAATACTTAAGTTCCACTAAGACACTCTCTGGAATTTCTTGCAAACCAAGCTATTACTAATAACACTAAGAGCATGCAAGTATTCCTAGTGTCCAAAGTACTATCTTCTAAAATCAAGACACTAAATCCAGGTTTAGTGGTGCACACTTGTAATCCCATAATTGGGAGGCTAAAGTAGGAGGATTTCAAGTTCAAAGCCAGCCTGGGACTACATAACAAGACCCAGTCTCAAACAAGCAAACAAAAAACCCAATTAAATAACAAGAACTCCAACAATTACAACAACTAAGAAATACCAAATGGAGTCTGGGCATGGTGGTGCATGTAGAGATATCTTGTTTATAGTCTAACAAATAAAGCTTGCCTGAAGATCAGAGGGCAGAGCTAGCTACTAGTTAACCATAAAGGTCTGGAGGTCTGTACAGTCAGATAGGAAGTGAGATAGCTGGGTGGAGAAAGGAATATAGGCAGGAGACAGGAGCTCGGTCTCTTCATTCTGAGCATTGTTAGAGGTAAGAGGTCTACTGGCTGGCTGCTCTGCTTCTCTGATCTTTCTGTTTTTACCCCTAATATCTGACTCCGGGTTTTTATTATTAAGAACAATTAGAACTCATGCTACAGGGCTGGAGAGATGGCTCAGAGGTTAAGAGCACTGACTGCTCTTCCAGAGGTCCTGAGTTCAATTCCCAGCAACCACATGGTGGCTCACAACCATCCGTTATGAGATCTGGTGCCCTCTCCTGGTGTGCAGATATACATGGAAGCAGAATGTTGTATACATAATAAATAAATAAATAAATAAATAAATAAATAAAAGATTTAAAAAAAAAAAAAGAACTCATGCTACAGGTGCATGATTTTAATCCCAGTACTCTGGAGGCAGATCTCTGAGTGCAAGGCTAGGCTAGTCTACATAGTGAGAGTTCAAAGCCAGCTTGAACTAAATAGAGAAACACTGTTTTCAAAAACAAAACAAACACAAAAACCAAATAAACAAAAATAATTAGAGCTTTGCTACTGACCATTCCTGCTTAGTCTCATTCCAAACCTGACATTTATTATTAAGAACATTATTCTACTTAAAAATATTATTTATGTTTTTATGTATGTATGCTCTATTTGCATATGCACCTGTATTCCAGAAGAGGTCATCTGGTTCCAACTCAGGACCTCTGGAGGAGCAGCCAGTGCTCTTAACCACTGAGCCATCTCTCCAGCCTCCCATTCATTAGTCTATTCTTTTTTAGAGAAATAAACTTAAATAAATAGAAAAGTGAAAGTTGTGTTAAATGTCATGATCAAGAAAATTTATTTAAATGTTCCTTTAAAGAAAATTTGAAAAATAAACAGAATGAGTGAGATTTTTAATAATATTGGATTTTTTAAATTATTTAACTCTTAACATGCCCATACAGTACATTTGATTTACAAAAGTATGATTTATGGGCTGGGGAGATGGCTCAGAGGTTAAGGGCACTGGCTGCTCTCCTAGAGGTCCTGAGTCCAATTGCCAGCAACCACATGATGTCTCACAACTACCTATAATGAGATCTGGTGCCCTCTTCTGGCAAGCAGTCAGGACAATGTATACATAATAAATAAATAAATAACTTTTTAAAAAGTATGATTTACATGTACCTTTCTAGGAAAATGCATTATCGAATATAATAAAAACATGTACACATATATTTTTTAAAGTTTCCCCTTCCCTCCTCCTTTCATTTTTTTTTTTTTTGAGACAGTCTCATATATCCCATGAGGGCCTCTAACTTGCTATTTAACTGAGAATGACCTTGAACTTCTAATCCTCCAGAGTTCTGGGATTACAGGCATGGTTTAATGTAGGCTGAGGATTAAACTTAAGGCTTTGTGCATGCTAAGTGAATACCTTACCAACTGAGGTACATACCCAGTCACTTGGTTTCTTTCTTTTTAAAAACATTTTATTAATTATGTATACAGTAGTCTGCCTGCATGTGCACCTGCATGCCAGAAGAGGGAATCAGATCTCATTATAGACAGTTGTAAGCAATCATGTGGTTGCTGGGAAGTGAACTCAGGACCCCTGGAAGAGCAGCCAGTGCTCTTAACCTCTGAGCCATCTCTCCACCCAACCCTTGCCTTTTTTTTAAGATTTTGTCCCTTGGTTTCTTAAGGTTAACTATAAAAAATCTTATGATCACAAGGAGATACTAGATATATTTTTAAAAATTAGACAAAAATCCTAAAAAATAAACAGTATAGGAGAGAAAATGTTTTATATCAATTCTATTCAAGAGAGGAAAAATATAACTCAAATCCACTCATAATGAAATATATTTTCCTACCTGAGGAGTGTCTACTCCTGGCTTCATGGCCCTGAGGATGCCCACAGCAGCACTGACTAAACTGTTCAGGGATGGTACCAACTAGAAATGAAACAAAGAAGAAATTTTTCAAAAATAATAAAGGATAGAAATGGGCAGCTGGGCAGTGCCGGTACATGCCTTTAACCCCAGCACTCAGGAGACGGAGGCTGGCAGATCTCTGTGAGTTCGAGGCCAGCCGGTCTATAGAGCGAGGGCCAGAGCAGATTCCAAAACTACACAGAGAAATCCTGTGACAAACACCCACCACCACAAAAAAGAAGTGTGCAACATACATACAAGCTGCTCAGTCTGTAGTAGTAAACATAATTCTAATTGGCAAATATTTAATATACCCAATCAATATTCTAGGTGCCAGAAAGGCTAAGTATTTTTAAAAGTATTACATAACCATAAAACAAATAAATGAGCCGGGCGTTGGTGGCGCACGCCTTTAATCCCAGCACTAGAAAGGCAGAGGCAGGCCTCTGTGAGTTCGAGATCAGCCTGGTCTCCAGAGTGATTATCAGGATAGGCGCCAAAGCTACACAGAGAAACCCTGTCTCAACACCCCCCCAAAAAAATGCCCCCAATAGGTAGGTTGTTGTAGCAGAGTTTAGATAAATGCGGGGTTTGTGGGGATGCAGGGTCCAGATGACTGCTGATCCAGTTGCAGTCCCTATATATTACCTTTGTGCTGAGGTCAGGCTCCCAAAGGTTGCTACCAACCAATGACAAATTTAGGCCTGTTGAGTAGGTCAAGGAATTCATCTGACAACACAGTACTTAGTGCTATTCTTGTAGTCTGGACAAAACGTTTTAGACTTTGCTATAGTCTGAGACTCCTGATTTTTTTTTCTCCTCTCCTAGGTGTCAAATCTGTACCTTGGTCTAAAGCCTTCCCTGCTTCCTCTTGACCTTCCTCTTAGTCATTATAGGTGGTTCCCTAATATATACAATACTTTCTTTTCATCTACCTTTCTATGAACACAAACTGACATGAGCAAGGAAGTTCCAGGGTGTTTACACAGACATAAGATATGTCTATAACAGGAAAGGGTTCTATCCAAGTAGTAAGGCAATGGGCCCTTCCAGCTTTAAGGATAAGGTTTGTATCTTGTTTTTGCAAAGAATAGCATGCTCCAGTGGCACCTGCAGGAGTAAAGTGAGGCCAGGATTTGGTTTGAATTTTTCTTTTTTAAGCTAAAAACAGAATGGGTGATGAAGCTCTTTTTTTTTTTTTTTTTTTTTTTTTTTTTTTTTTTTTTGGAGAGGGGTTTTTTTTGGGTTTTTGGGGGG